AATTAAAAATTAAAATTAAATTGGTGTAATTAGTAGAGAACCACTAATTTTGAGTAGTTAAAAACGTGGGTAGTATGATCTAAAAATAGTCAGTGTTACACAGAAAACGCCTATGGAGTTTTTTGTAAAAAAAACCTTAGAAAAAAAGAAGAAAAACTTAGAGGAGTTTGAAAGGTTTTTTAAGTGTATTTCGTCAGTTTTGGGTCTACAAGCTTGAAATTTAGCTTGTTATGACGGGAATAGTGAGCTCTTTAAGTTTTTCTAAGTTCAAAAAGTAGGTTTAGATAGCCGTTTTAGAGTTATTAAATGAAATATAAGAAAAAGGGCCAAGAGGCTGTTTCTCAATAGTTTTAAAAGTTTTTAATTTAGTTTTCTAGTATTATATGTATTTTTTAGTTAGGAATAAGTTTATTTAATAGCAAAACTGAGGTTAACTTAGTAGAAAATAAAGTTATAAAGTATTTTAAACTAATTGAGCTGGGGAAAGTTTGTGTACAAGTGATAGACAGGAAGAGTTCTAAGGTTTTTTTATTTAATGGGATAAAAACTATTACTCATTATGATCATTTATTTAATTTTAATTCATTGGGCCAGAACTATTGCTTATGAAGATTTTTTTATTTGATTAGAGCCAAAATGATTACTATGACGGTTTTTTATTTAAGTGAGGCAAAACTATTATTTATAATGATTTTTATTTAACTGAAGCTGGAACTATTATAGTATTATTTATTTATTTATTGGGGCCAGAACTATTATTCATGATAATTTTATTTAATTTGGGTCAGGACTATTGTTTATGATAATGCTTTTATTTAATTAAGACCAGAACTATTAGTCTTATTTAATAAAGAATTTAATAATGACTTAGCTGCTTCAGTTCCAGTATTTTCATCTTGGTTTGTATTTTTATCTCTATAATTTGATATCTTTTTATCTTTTAATTTTTCACGAATTTCTTTAATTTTTGATGTTGTAACTGGTTGTATTTTTTGAGTAGATGCTGCAAAAACAAGTCTTGATTCTTGTAAATTCATACTCATATTTGGATTTACTTTCAGATCATATCGATTAAACATTCTTTCAAGCTGTTGTTAATGAATAACTATACTTCAAATTCGGTATTTTACAAAGTTATATATTAATGGGAAATTATAAAGCATTATATCAGGTGAGTTTGCATATTTTATAAATTCTTTTTTGAATTCTAAATCTTCAAATGCTTCTAATAATCCCCAAGTATTAGATAGTCCATCTTTTTTATTATTATTTAAAATTTCAATATAATTTAATTCTATATTAGATTGAGATTCTTGCAATTCAGTACTTGTATATACTCTAAGAAATGCACTTGCAAATAATGATCCATTTGAGCCTCCTAATGCACAAACAAGTAGTAGTAAATATATCTATGATAACACCCATTTACAAAATCCTTCATATGCACTTTTTAAGCCAGATTCCAAAGAAATATAAAGTTCTTGATATTCTTCAATATTTAAATAAGAATTTGCTTCTTCAAGTTCTTCTTCAAATAATTCTGTTATATTTTCTTGTACATTTTTTATATCTTCAATCCATTTTAATACAGTATCAGGCATTTCATGAGCTCTATAACCAGCAGGAAGATTTTCTATTTTTGCTCTGTATAAATTCTTGGCATTGGATTATATTGTGTTACAAATTCATAAATAGGAAGATAAAATTCAGTACCAAATTTTACAAGACATTTGATTTGAATATTTAATTTTCCTATTTTGTAACTATTTATTAAATAATCTCCATTGAAATATATAGGTTTTTGAAATATTTTTAATTGATTCAAGTTGTGGAAGAAACCAATTACAAAATTTAATATGTGCATCTTGTCTAGATAAATATTGTTGAGCTGTAATTAATTGATATTACTATTTTGTTATAATAAGTTGTTGATATTTGTTAAATGTATAATTTAAAAGTTTTTCATATAGTCTATGAATATGTTCTGATCTTAAATTCATTAGATTATCTTTATTAGTTGTACTATGTCTATCATGAATTTTAAAAGCTAAGTTAATAAGATTAAATGGATATTCTTTATAAGATCCTTTAGTGCCATCTATTTTTCCAAATGCATTATTTTCAAAATTCATTAGAGCAATTTGTGTTGCATGTAGTGCACATGGAATTCTAAAAGATGTAGATTGGTTTAAAGTATTAAATTTTGCAACATCACCATTTTTTTTTGAAGACATATATGATATATTATCCATTAACCAAAATATATATCTTTTAAAATTAATATTATTATTATTACAAATTTTTGTAATACTGTTTGCAACAGTATTGGAATTGCAATGTAATAAATCATCAACTCCTAATATACTAAACATAGGATAGTTTGTTTTAATATTCCAAAAAGATGTAGCCACTATTAAAATTTTTCTTTCTCCTCTTTTGCTTTCATCTACTAATAAACCATAACCATAATTAGATATATTATATGATTTAGGTTTATTTGAATCAAGTTGAAGAGCTGCAATTTCTTTATTCCATCTTGATAGTATATGTATATTAATCCATTTTTCTGGTTCTTCTCCAGTAATAAATTCATAAAATTTTTTAGTACATGCTACTGTTGATTTTAAAGAGATTTGTCCCAAATTACTAATTTCTGTAGCCATTTGTAGAAATTGTGCTAAATACTCATTTTTAAATTTAAAAAGCTTTTTAGCTGATTTTTTTAAATTTTCTGGTGTTATTTTTTTAGATTTTTGAATTACAGATCTAATTTTTGAAATATGTTGAACCTTTGTTTTTTCTTTGCTTGCTATAGTTATTTTAAGTAATCTTATTTGCTTTTTTAATTCTTCTAATTCCTTTTGAAATTTTTGATTTTCTTTTTCTAATTTTTTAAATTTTTGAGTTCAAGAAATTGCATCTGATTCATGTTTATATAAAAAGGTTCTAATAATTTTAGAACCTTTTTTTGACAATACTCTGAAATAAGTTCTCCTTGATATTTTCCTTTTGTATATATCATATTATTTAACATATAAATTGCTCTTGAAAGCTGATACTGAGAAATACTATCTACTTTTGAATGCAATTCTTGTCGTAATTTAAATTCTAATTTAGTTGAATATTGTAATTCTTGAAATAAATTCTCGGATTCTGATTTAGACTTATTAGATCCAGACTTATTATATTCAGACTCATTAGATTCGGACTTATTAGATTCAGTCTCAGATAAATCATAAGGAATATATATTACAGCATTTAATGTATTAAAATTTTGATTTAATATTGATTCTGATTCTACTTCAATATCAATATTATTTGTTGCTATAGATGATTCGAATTTGTTAGAATATTTTAACTTTTTTGCCTGTCGAGCTTTTTTTAGATGAGTATTTCGCTTTTTGGGCAAAATTTTAATAATAAAAATAAAAAATAAACAATTTTAAAATTTATAATTTATTTATATAAAAATAAGCCAATAAAATACTTTGTTTACATGTTTACATTTTAATAATGACTATTTTAGATAAATAAATTTTATTATAAACAAAATAATACTTTACAATAAGATTTTATACTAATAGCTCTGGCCCTAATAAAATAAAAAATTATTATAAATAAAAGTTCCAATCTTAACAAATTAAATTTAGATAAAAAACCTTCGTAAGTAATAGTTATGACTCTAAATAATAAAAAAAATAATTATAAGTAATACTGTAGTTCTGGTCCCAATTAAATAAAAAATTATTATAAATAATAGCTCTGGCCCAATTAAATAAAAGAAATCATCGCTAATAATAGCTCTGCCTCCAATTAAATAAAAATTATCATGAGTAATAGTTCTGGTTCCAATTAATAAAAAAATCATTATAAATAATAGTTCTGAATCCAATAAATAAAAAATAATTATAAGTAATAGTTTTAGTCAAGAAAAATAGTCATAAGTAATAGTTCTTGCCCAAATTAAATGAAACATCATCGTTCTGGCCCAAATAAATTAAAATTAAATAAAAAAACTATCGTGAGCAAATAGTTTTGGCCCCAATAATTAAAAAATCATCGCGAGTAATAGTTCTAGCCCAATAAATTAAAATTAAATAAAAAAAATTATCGTAAGTAATGGTTCTAGCCCAATTAAATAAAAAATTACGTGTATGAGTAATAGTTCTAGTTCTAATTAAATAAAAAAAAATTGACGTGGATAATAGTTCTGGTCTCGATAAATTAAAATTAAACAAAAACCTTCGTGGCTAATATATCTGATCCCAATTAAATAAAAAATACCATTAAATAAAAAATACCATAAATAATAGTTCCGGCCCTCTTCATAACTAATAGTTCTAGTTCTAATTAAATAAAAGGCTATAATAAGTAATAGTTCTAGCCTTAATTAAATAAAAAAATAATTGCGAATACCAGCTCTGGCTCTAATAAAATCAAAATCAGATAAAAAAAATTTTTACGATCAATAGTTCTGACCCCAATTAAATAAAGATATCAATTACTTTGCGTTATAGCTCTAACCCCAATTAAAACCCATCATGAGTAATAGCTCTGGTCTCAATTAAATAAAAAAAAACATCGTGAGTAAATAGTTCTGACCCCAATAAATTAAAAAAATTATCACAAGCAATAGTTCCGGCTCCAATAAATTAAAAAATTATCACTAGCAATAGTCCCGGCTGCAATAAATTAAAAAATTTTCATGATTAATAATTCTGGTCCAAACATATAATTGAAAAACTAAAGAAATATTTATGACTAGTAGTTCTGGCCCAAATATATTAGCGTTAAAGTTAAAAAATTTTTGTGGCTAGTCCTAATACGTATATGTTATACGTATTTGGAACAAACATGATTGGCTGATTTGTGATTGATGATCATCGATAGTAAAAACATACCGATATAAAATTTAAACTTTAATAACTTTCGAACTACTGAAGATATGCAAGTAAAATTACTTTCATTGGATTATTCTTAACATTATCTTTAAAGTAATAGAGCCCTTTTTTTTATTTCTATAAAATTAATCGTGTTTTAATAATCAGTTTTCGCTTTAACTTATATGAAAAATAAAAAAAGAGCTCTATTACTTTAAAGAGAATGTTAAGAGGAATCCAATAAACATAATTTTGCTTACATCTCTTAAGTAGCTTGGGAGTTATTTCAGTTTGATATTTTATATATTTTTGCTATTAAGAAGAATGATCGACAAAAAAACCTATACGTATTATGAAAATCACTTCACTATGTTTGTTGATCATATGCCATCTCACCCCCTAGTGGTACATCCCAAATAAAGCATAAAAAAGATCAAGAACGTAACTTATGCAGGAGCTCGACATACGATACTGTCTTATAAGATAGAATAGATAGATTAATAAGAAAAATACTTATCATTAAAATTTTGACTTGAACTTAATAAACCTTTCATAACTCAATTCGATGGACTGAATTGACTCGTAACCTCGAAAAGGCTTATTGTGACTCAAAATTCTGTGTAACAAACCTTTATGACTTTGGAACTTGGTCACGTGATTTTGACAGAAAGTGTTTTCGCCTAAAGAAAAGAAGTATTTTGAAACGAGAAAAGTAAACCGCCCCACCTCCTTTGGCATCACCAGCATCAGATGATTTTTAAGAATATCCGAATTGGGATTAAAACTTATCTTTTAAGCATCCATAAATCCATTGTTAATCATAATATCGCTCTAAATATCAAATTCCGTTGATATCATCCCTCAATACCGAATATTGTCCTTCCTGCTCTTCAGATTAATTACCCGTAAAGTCCTAATATTCCAACATCATTATCAATCAATCATACCGCTTTTGACCCGTTCTAAGAAGAATTACTTCTTCTTGATATCATTTCCGAATTATTTTAATTCATAGTTCTTTCATTGATACGCTGCTCAACATATGCATTTTTAGTTATTATCATTGTTTAAATCATATTAAGTTTACTTTCGTACTCAAGATTGATTAAATTTAAGTCAGATTTATAGCTTTCCTTTATTTATATAAACCCAATCCCGTAATCGGTTGGAGTTCAAATTGGCACTATTTGTCTATAATAGTTTTCGCTCTCCCAATACAACCGTTACAGTACTATATAATCCATATATCCCATTTTTTCTCATGGTAACGTTCATGATACATGTCATATCACTATCTTTCGGTTTTCAACAAATGTGGATTAGTAAACAAGAATATGACGAATTTGGTCCTTCTTTTATCAATCGCAAGTGTTTCTAGATAAGGCCACTTAAAGTTAATTAGCTGGTTAATGTCAACATTTTGGGTTCAGGCGCTAGGGGGGAGGAAATTTTTAAACAAACATATATAGTATATGTCCAAGAATATTTGATTAAATTTCATTGGTCAACTTTGATCACATGATTAATGAAGTCTTTGCTGTATTGTGATTGGCTTGTTTAATTTTTGGGGAGCAGTTAACCAAGAGGGGGGTGACGTTAAAAAAACCGATCAACTTCGAACGGCCTAAAATTATAGGTTTTATGGTTATGATTGTAAAGATTATGGAAGATAAAAGGCAATAATCAGAGTTAAATAGTCGAAAAAGATTAAGAGATTTAAATCATCGACTGTCATACATTGCACGTAAAACATAGTAATGTATCTAATAATCTAATTGAACAAGAAAGGTAAAAGCTTGTTTTTGAAGCATTAATACCATCACTTTATAAATTCAACACCGTTCAGGTATTCTGAATTTGCAATAAGGGTTTGTGTTACATATTATGTTATATAATTGCGATTAACATTGATTTTCGTAAATTTAATTATTAGTTATGGCTGACAATTATAAACGTAAAGATAATGAAAAATGTGCAACTTGCAACCGAAATAATAATTTCGAAGCTTGGTGTCATATATGTGATCCTCAGAAAATAACGCAAGGATGGACATGTGGGAATAAGGATATCGATAGTTGTATTAAAGAATTTCAACTTAAAGCTACAAATTATGAAGACATAATTGAATGGATTTCTTTTAATAGATTAGATAATATTCAAAAGATTGGTAATATATGTTTCGCGACTTGGTTAGACGGAATGCGTTATGTGTATGAAAATGAAGGTAGATATAGATATACACGCTTACCATCATATAAAGTAGAGCTTAAACCATTAGCTTCACAAAATCTAATATATATGCTAAAAGAAGTAAGATAAAATATTTAATTATTATTGTACTATACTATTATATATTTCTTTTTTTAATTCAATATTTTTATATTTATAAGTTTAGATCTTATGTATACCTAAGAAATGGTAAATTTAAGGTATATGGATTAACTCAAAACATAAACACAGATGAATATATGTTGGTATTTGACGAATTTGGCTCTAAAAGAGATAAAAAGAATGGAAAATGCGCAAATTGCAATCGGTTTAACACATCATCATCTTGGTGTCAGACATGTGACCCTCAGATGGCAACGCAAGACCGGATGTGTGGAAATAAAGAAGTTGATGACTGTATTAAAGAACTTCAATTTAAAGCTACAAATTACGAGGATGTAATTGAATGGATTCCTTTTGATAGATTAGATGATATTAAACCGATTGGTGATAAATCCTTAGCAACCTGGTTAGACGGAATAAGATATTTATATAAAGAAGGTGAATACCGGTGTATACAGTCACGTATTTCATCATACAATGTGGAGATTAAGACATTAAGTAGTTCATCAAATTTAACAGACATGTTAAAAGAAGTAAGTTAAAATATTTGAATTATTATTGAATTAAATTACTGTATATTTATTTTAATTCATACTTTTATATACGTATTTATAAATAATTAATAAGTTTAAAGACTATGTGCAATTAAATGATGATAAAATCAAAGTATATGGATTAACTCAAAACATAAATAGAAATGAATATATGTTGGTATTTGACGAATTCGGCTTAAAAAGAAATAAATATGATGGAATATGCTCAAATTGCAACCGAGCCAATACATCTCGAGCTTGGTGCCAAACTTGTGATCCTCACCAGACAGCACAAGGATGGACAAGTGGAAATAAATATGTTGATGAATGTATTAAAGAGTTTCAACTTAAAGCTACATACTACGAAATTGTAATAGAATGGATTCCTTTTGAAAAGTTAGGTTTTATTCAAATGATTGGTGACAAGTTTTTTGCAATCTGGTTAGATGGAATACGAAATGCAAAACATAAAACTGAAAATAAATATACACAGTCACGTATACCATGTTATATAGTGGAACTTAAAACATTAACTAGATCACCAAATTTAAACGATATGCTAAAAGAAGTAAGATAAAATATTTATTGATATACTGTGCTGCTGTGTATTGCTTTATTCTAATTCATATTTTATATTTATAAATGCTTAATAAGTTTAGGGATTATTTCAAGTTAGGGGGTGGAATTAAAATTTATGGATTAACTCAAAACATATTCACAAATGAATATATGTTGGTATTTGACGAATTTGGGTTTAAAAGAGATGAGCTTTATGGAAGATGTGCAAAATGCAATAGATATAATACATCGCCAGCGTGGTGTCAAACATGTGATCCTCGTAATGCAACACGAGGATGGACAAGTGGAGATAAAAATGTTGATGATTGTATTAAAGAATTTCAACTTAGAGCCACATTTTATGAAAATGTAGTCGAGTGGATTTCTTTTGATAAATTAGATAATATTCAAAAGATTAGTGATAGACTTTCAGCAACATGGAAAGATGGAATACGTTATTTGACTAAAGAATTTGAATGCTATAAATGTAATTATACGCAGACACGTACGCCGCCATGTATAGTTACACTTAAAATATTGGATAGTTCACAAAATTTATTAAATGTTTTGAAAGAGGTAAGATTATATTACTTTATGTATATATTATTGATTAATGCTGTAATAACGTATATTAGGCATACTTAACTTTTATTATATATTTTATATATTTTATAAGCTTAAACATCAAGTGCAGTTAGAGAGTAAATATTTTTATGGATTAACTCAAGTGCAGTTAAAGAGTAAAAATGTTTATGGATTAACTCAAAACACTACCACAAATGAATATATGTTAGTGTATGATGAATTTGGGTTTAAAAGGAAAGAAGATAACGGGGTATGTGTAAGTTGCTACCGATATAATACTTCTGAAGCTTGGTGTCAAACATGCGACCCTCAGAAAACAACACAAGGATGGGCAAGTGGAAATGAGAAAATCGATGATTGTATTAAAGAATTTCAACTTAAAGCAACTGAATATGGAGATGTAATCGAGTGGATTCCTTTTTAATAGATTAGAGAATATCCAAATGGTTGGTGACAGATTTTTAGCAACCTGGTTAGATGGAATACGAGATATAATTTGTGATTATGAAGATAAACATAAATATAGGCAGTCACGTACATCATCATATAGAGTAGATCTTAAAACATTAAGTGGGTCACCAGATTTATTATATATTTTAAAAGAGGTTTGTTATAATATTTGATTTATTATTGTACTGTACAACTGTGTATAGCTTTATTTTAATTTATATTTATATATGTTTATGATATTAATAAGTTGAGAGATCATATGCTGTTAAATAACTGTGTAAATAATAAGTTTAGAGATGATATACAGTTAAATAATAGTGTACATAAAGTATATGGGCTAACTCAAAACACTAAAACAAATGCGTATATGTTAGTACTAGATGAATTTAATTCTAAATGAAATGAAGATAATGGAAAGTGCGTAAATTGCAGCCGATATAATACTTCTGAAGCTTGGTGTCAGACTTGTGATCTTCAGAAGGCAACATATGGGTGGACAAGTGGACATAAAGATATCGATAATTATATTAAAGAATTTCAACTTAAGCTACAAATTATGAAGATGTAATAGAATGGATTCCATTTAATAGATTGGATAATATTCAAATGATTGGTGATAGATTTTTAGCAACCTGGTTAGATGGAATACGTTATACAGGTTGGGTTAAATCTAAATCATATACAAAGTTACGTAAACTATCATATAAAGTGGAACTTAAACCATTAATTATATCACAAAATTTAAATGATATGTTAAAAGAGGTAAGATATTTAAATTATCATTGTTTTATACTCTGTATATTGCCTTATTTTGATTCATATTTTGTATTTATGAACTTTTAATAAGTTTTTAGATAATATCCAAATGGTTAGTGATAGACTTTTAGCTACCTGGTTAGACGGAATACGATATGTGGATGAATATAAACATACCAAGTTACGTAAACTATCATCTGAAGTGGAGCTTAAAATATTAAATGATTCTCAAAATTCCTTAGATTTATTAAGTGAAGTAAGTTGGATTCAGTTTATTATTTATGTATATTTGCTTAATTAATACTATATATTTATATTTTACTGCATAAATTGGATTTGTAAGTTTAAAGATTTTATGCAATTAAAGGATAATAATCTTAAAATATATGGATTAACTCAGGATACTGCAACAAATGTTTATATGTTAGTATTTGATGAGTTTAGTTTTAAAAGATCCGAAAAACATGGAAAATGTGCAAATTGCGGCCGATACAACACTTCTTATGCATGGTGTCAGGCATGTGATCTTCAGAAGGCAACAACACAAGGATGGACAAATGGAAATAAAGATATTGATAACTGTATTAAAGAATTTCAACTGAAATCTACCACATATGGTGGTGTTATCGAATGGATTCCTTTTAATAGATTGGATAATATTCAAAAGAATGGTGATAGATTTTTGGCAACTTGGTTAGATGGAATGCGATATGTAAGTTATAATAAACATCACCAAGATGAATATGATGAATATATACAATTACGAAACCGATCATCCAAAGTGGTGCTTAAAATATTACATGATTCTCAAAATTCATTAGATTTACTAAGTAACGTGAGTTAAATTTTTGTTTATTATTTATACATATTTGTTGATTAATATTATATATTTATAATTTATAATTTATAAGTTTAAAGATTTCATGCATTCTAAGGATAGTAACCTTAAAGTATATGGGTTAACTCATAATATTACAACAAACGAGTATATGTTGGTTTTTGAATTTGAAAGAGAACTATGGTATGGTGTATGTACAGACTGCAAACGATATAACACTTCTTATGCATGGTGTCAGACATGTGATCCTCAGAAAACAATAGTAGGATGGACAAGTGGAAATAAAGATATCGATAAATGTATTAAAGAATTTCAACTGAAATCTGACACATATAAAGATGTTATCGAATGGATTCCCTTTAATAGACTAGACAATGTTCAGAAGATTGGTGAAGGGGGATTTGGCTTAGTGTTTTCAGCAACGTGGTTAGATGGTGAAAGGATAGTTTCATATGGACCTGGAGAATTTGAACGCACAAAGTCACGTGGACCATCATGCATAGTTGCACTCAAGACATAAGAATTTTTTAAGAGAAGTAAGTTAAAATGATTTATTTATAACTTAATATCTTATATAGGCTAATTATTAATATTATAAATTTTATTTATCTAACAAGTTTAAAAGTTATACAGAATGTAGATTAATGGGTAGTAATCTCGAGGTTTATGGGATAACTCAAGACACAAATAATGAATATTTGATGGTATTTCAATATGCAAATAAAGGAAGTCTTCATCAATTTTTATCATCAAATTTTAGAGAAGTTAATTGGAAAAGTAAATTAACGCAACTGCATGATATAGCAAGAAATTTAACGAAAGTACACGAAGCAAATTACGTTCATGGAGATTTTCATAGTGGTAATATTTTAATAAATCAACCTATTGGTGGAGAGCCAATATCTTACATTGCAGATCTAGGATTGTCCAGAAAAAAAGATGAATTTGATACAAAAGATAGTATTTACGGCGTTTTGCCTTATGTTGCTCCGGAAGTATTAAAAAAACAACCATATACCATAAAAGCGGACATCTATAGCTTTGGTATTATTATGACTGAAATTTCTACAGGAAGGCCACCTCATCATAACGTTAATTATGATGGAGAATTAGCTATTCAAATATGCAATGGATTACGTCCTAAATGTTCTGAAGGGACTCCTAAATGCTATATTCAATTAGCAGATCAATGTATGGATGCTAATCCTTCTAAGAGACCAAGCACATCTGAGATTTATGATAAATTGAGTAAATGGTATGAGATATTATATTATGGTACTGCAAAAGATAAAAATGAATTGACAATATTAGAAGCATTTCAGTCTGCAGATAAAATTATTCCCATATTGTCGATCGAATTAACATTTTTTTGTTCTAAGGATGAACTTACAAGCAAACCGCTCAACTTTAGAAACCTTTTTGAACCAATTGATTCATCATTTATTCCACATTTAGGAGGGTTAAAAAATTGTGGTAAATATTTTAATTATTATAATGTTTTAATTTTAATCGATAAAATTTTTAAAATTTAATCTTTTAGATTCTACTACACTCGAGATTTCATTTTCTGACGAATGTGATAACGATATTTCATGTGCGTATTTTGATACGTAATTTTTAATTTATTAACATATAAGAATATTTAATAATCTATAAATGTTTTATAGCTAAAGATAAAATCTAATGAATAAGTATATTTTATTCAATTTAATCATATGGTAGATGCATTGCTTATTTCGTTATTTTAAGCTTGAAAGTTATTTGTATTTTATAAAATTAAAGCTAGTTTTATTATAATAATCGAAGATTGGATTTATACTTTTGGTAGATTTTTATTTAATATTAATTTTAAAAAGCGCCAATAATTAGCTATTGAAATTAAATTTCGTTTAACGTTCCCTTCGAATCTTAAGCGCAATGGGAGAGTGGATCAAATAAAAAAACATTATATAACATCTCAAAAAAAAATCTCCATTATTGTTGGATAGTTTATGGGCTAGTGATACGGGCTGACCACGGCCCATCAGCCGGGCGGGCCCTCGACCCATACCTTTATGGGTCAGCCCGGCTGGAATATAGTCAAATTTTTTCATCCTATAGGAATTCATTGTATAACTTATGATAATTGGTTAGATGAAATTCAGTGAGGTGGATAAAATCAATTTTTTTAGATAAAATATTGTAAATTTGAAAATTTTTTTTAGCACAATTGTTTTTTATTCGGTTATGAATTATTACTGTACTGTATATTTAATCAGGCAGAATTAGTAAATAAATGTTCGTAAGTTGTTTAATAGATTAAAGTTTAAAAATTCATCGGTAAAATGTTATGAATCACTTCAATTAATTTCAATTAATCGACGGATAAGCAAAAATAAATAGGTTAACAAATAAGAAAATGTATGATGTAAATAATAGACATTAATTAATTTATTATGCCATTTTATAAATTGCATTTGGTTTTTTTTGCTATAATTTATTAATTACATTTGTCTAACATTATTCTTTATTCATCACAATGTATTAAATTATAGTTTCATAGGGAAAAAATTTTTTGGTAGAATAGTCAGCCCGGTCGACCGGCCTGAATAATTTTGACAGCCTGGTCGACCCAGGGGTTTGGCATCGACCCGTATCACTATTATGGGCGCATGATTTATTGAAATCTCAAAGGTGTTCTGATTGGCTTGTTTAATTTCAGGGGGAGCCAAAATTGTAACTTCAAACCGCCTTATAAACGATTAAAACAATAATTATAATTGGAAAAAATATAATTACAAGTTTCGATTAATAAATCTCCAGCTAACGTACTTTGTGCCAGAATTAATTCTCAATAAAAATTATTCTATCAAGTTTAATATATCTATTCATGAGTGTTTAAATTATTTTTTAAAAAAAGCAATTTCGACAAATATTTCGACATTGCTGGTTTTTATTTATATGAATTCCGCATACTATTGTATGATGACAAAAAGTCAAAAGACAGGGGAGAGTGGTCAGGGTTACACGCCACGTGCTACAACCCTGCCCCGATAATGCAAGTGGGGGACCGGGATTTCATGCGAACACAACTACGTAACATCAGACCATATCGATTTTTCATGCGAACACAGCTGAGTAACAGAAAGAGACGTCAGACCATATCGATTTTCATGCAAACACAGCTACGTAACAAAAGCTACCGTCCTCAATCAATATAAAAGAAGCGACGGATAAATCGATTTCCAACACTCTTCTCTTTCCCCTTGCAACACAATCAATTATAACCATCATTTTCTCGACCAAACCCTTCCCACCACACGCAGGGGAACACTCTCCTGATTCTGCCATTTCCTATTCAACAGCCGGCCTGCTTCGAGCAGGCGGAAACTACCGACTGATGCTGCTTCTCACTCATTCTAATGTTATGTTGATACCTGGGCGCAATCTCACTTGCTAATTTTCCCGGGAGCATCTTATCGTTTCAGTTCAAATTACTCAGCTCAAATTACTCGGTTCAAATTTTCAATGTATTCTGCGGACTTAAAGTCCTTTAATTGAATTTACTTCCGGCACCTTTGGCGTGCCGGCATTCGTCCAACCACATGGCCAATCGTACCTATGCTTTTCGACTATAAAGAATCCAAATAATTTCATTAAAAATTCGACAACTATGAAATTTAATTTCGCTACTAAAAAAAATTAATTTCAACAGACCAAATGTCGAAATAGCTTTTTATTAAGAGGAGTAATTTAGACACCCGTGTATGAATATTGTAATCCGGAAAACTCAGACCTCCGGAAATTTTAATTGTAAGCCGGTTAATTACGTATGTGCTGCAGAAGCCTATTTTTAGTTAGCGACGATCTTTGATGTATTTGGGTTAAAGACTTTTAGGAGCGATTTGTCTTAAAAGTCTTAAAGGTCTTAAAGGCGGGGGTATAATACTTTTAAGACTTAAAAGTCTTTTCTTTATTTTATGTATTTTAATAGTTTATATTATTATAAGACTTAAAAGTCTTAAACGAAACATAGTGTAAAAGAAAGTATATAAGCAGTACATTTCTGCTGTTTAATAAAGACATTGTTTTATATGATTAAACAAGCATTCCTTAGCTTGTCTTTGGCCTACTTATACAAATTATTCGTTTACTTTGATCTTTCCTAAACTAAATTCTTGTCTAATTGTTAAAATCCAATAAACTATAACTGCTACGCTGCCCAAAGATTACCTTTCTGAATTAGCCCAAATTTAGGCTAGATCGCTCCAATTGTCTGCCCGATACAGACAACCCTTATTGTTATCTGAGTTTAGTGCCATTTCCAACCTTAGTTTAGGTTGATTGTATTGAGTACTGTACCCAGAAGTATTGTGAATATATTTCCTTGCGAGTTGGTTCCAGTGGTTCGAGTGTTGGTAAACCAAAGTTTGTCACGTGTTTGTTGTTCAAGGATTGCCGAAACCTTAGAACCATTCCACTTTGCCGAATCTAAACGTCTCTTTCGATAAGGTGGTCCAGTACTTTGTTAGATTAATTTTGCTAGTTGATTTAACTCCCAGCAAATCGATATTTCTCCGAGTAACAACTAGTGGTGACTGTGAGATACGGCACCCCATAGTTTTTAGAGTCACCTTTCATTTTAGTGGTAGTTTTAGTCTTAGTTTTAGTTCTAGCATTAGCCAAATTACCCGTACTTTTAGAAAAGTATTGTTTAGTTTAGGATGAAAGACTTTTTAATTCGAAATGAAGATCTCCAGGTTGAGGAAAATGAAGTTAATGGAGAAATTCAGGATGATCTCGCTCAAGAAAACCAAGTACTAGTTGATGGTGGAAACCAGCCAGAGGACGTTAAAGAAATCCTAAAACAAATTGCTAGTGCATTTAAAGATGTAACCAAGGGATCTTCACGTAGAGAAACCAATTGGGTTCAGGTCAAACCCTTCAAAGGTGAAGAGGATAAAGACCCAATCGAGTGGATTGAGGTCTTTGAGCGAGCCGCAGATGCAAATAATTGGGGAGAAGAGCGTAAAGTTAAGATTGCCTCAGGCTATCTATCCAAAATAGCAGCCAATTGGTATAAGGGGAAGAAAAATGAGTTGCAGTATTGGGATAATGCCGAAAACTTGGACGCCAGCTTCAAGAAACAATTTGTGGATTACTTCGCCACACCGGAATGATGCCATAAGTGGCAGGTAGACTTGGACAACTTAGAGCAAGAAGACAATGAGCATGTAGATTCCTACACTTATAAATTTAAGCGTTTGTTGTCTAAAGTTGATGCTGATAAAGGCATTTCAGCTCCTTATGTCATGAGGATGTTCCTAAAAGGGCTTCGAGGAAACATTGCAGCGCTTTTGTCTTTGGTGGAACCAAATAATCTTGACAATGCTATTGTAATAGCCCGGAGGATTGAAGCAGGTAGCCATTATGAAGATAAGAAAGGGGCTAAGTCGGTCTTAAGGGTGGAAAAAGAATTGGAAGATTTAATCCTTAAACTAAAGCAAATGGCAGCTAGTTACGAAAAACTCACTACTACTCTAACTGCTATGATGGATGCCCGTCCCACCCGGGATAGACTACCTCGGCCACCAAATTCTAAAATTATTTGCTTCAATTGTGGTGAGCCAGATCATATATCTAGGAATTGTCAGTTCGAAAGGAAGTCAAATGACCAAAGAAACTCTATCCAGCTCACACAAATTCTTTCCCGTCCTGGCATGTTAACTATTGTAGGATAGAGGATAAGAATTACATTGAAAGTGAGGTTTGGCTAATGACCAAGCCTGGTATCAACCTTATGCCACTCAAAAAGGACTAAGACCGGTAAAGAAGTCCGAGTCAAAGTGGGAGGATTTGTTGAGGTGACGTGAACCAGTAGAGCAGCCCCAAAAACCATTGCCAATGAATGTAGAGCCGTATATCCCAGAGGAGCCAACTGTGACTCGCTCTAAGTATAGAAGGGGACCATCTTGGGTAGATAACCTTGAACCATATAATGTTGTTCAAGACTTGTTAAACACTAAGTCTAGTGTCACTATAGGGCAAATGTTAAA